CACCCCGCTTCAGCCCCTTCTTCCCGAGGAGCCCCGCAGTCTGCCAGCCAGGCGGCCATCCCCCGCCTCTGCATCCAGCCTGGCAGCCGGCCTGGCACAGATGGCCCCTCCCACCCCTTCCAGGCCTCTTGTGATTTCCCCGCTGGCTTCATTTTGCTGGCGCCCAGGCACAGAGCGGTGGGACTGCGGACCTGCGGGTTACCCAGGCCCTAGTCTCATAGTGGGTGGGAGGTGACATGGCAGGGGCCATGCTAGGTTCGAAGGGTCCTGGGGAGGGCCTCCGGGACCCCTCCAGCCCAAGTCCCTGGCTCTCTGCCACAATCCTGTTTTTAAACCAATCTAACGTACGGGCGGCAGATTGTACACAGAGTCACTCCCGATAGCAGATTCAGCATTCCACAAACATTTATTGAGCACCTACTAGGCGCCCGCCCTGTGGAGGCACTGGTCTCCCTGAGGCGCTCAGGAGGACTCACTTCCCAGCTCTGTGCTGGGCTCTGGTGAACACCACCACCGCTCCTCCTCCCATTACTACCCGTAACTACTACCACTACTAATGGTGACGGGAGCCAGTGCCCCTCCACCGTGGTGACCTCTTCTGCTTCCATCCCCCCAGCAGCCCCCAGGCTCAGGGACAGCAGGGGCATGTGAAGGTCAGGCCCAGGATCTGAACCAGGTGGGTGTTTCTTTACTTAATTCAACGAGTCTGGTTGATGACGGCTTCCAGGAGCCCCCAGAGAGAACCACAAGCCCAACTGGGAGGCTCAGACTGGCGTGGGCAGAGGCCCCTTGCTCTGACTCTGCTCCCCCACCCCTTCTCGTACCTCCATCCCCAAACTGCTGGATGTCCGCAGCTCCCTCTGGGAGCGAGGGTCTCCCCTGCGCTAAAACAGGGCAGCCCCTTCCCAAAGCCAGACTCTTGGACCTTCTCTCAGACCGAGGTGCCTATTCTCCACCTCCTTGTTGCCCACCACGGCCACCCTCTGAGAGCGGCACCACCCCTGCCAGTGGGGGGGGGGGGGGGGCAGCAGGGTCCAAGGAAAAAAGTTCCCGGGACTCAACCCACCGAGAGGAGAGCCCACCGGATGGAACAGCCGGATCACCCAGCACCTCCAAAGGCAGCGAATGGACCCCAGCTTTACGAATAACAGAGGGGGCCCGTTGGGGAGCACGGTGGGGATGGGGCACCAGAAGTCAGACTTCCCCACTCACACACCAGCCAGAGGCTGGAGCAGGGATGGGGGGAGGGTGGGCAGGGCCTGGCACCCACAGGTGAGTCGGGAGGCAGCCCCAGACACAAAAGGCTAAGGGCTGGCGGGCCACCTCGCCGCCCGGGGCCCTTCGGTCGCAGGGTGGGGAAACATCCCCAGGGGCGGGCGGTCGCGCGCACCCCCGCCCCGCCGCCCACACCCCGTACCTGGCCTTCGCCGTCGCGGGCGCGACCCTCCGCCGGACAGGGCAGCCCGGGGCCCGGCCTGGAGGCCGCGCGGCGCCCGGAGACGCCGGGGCCGGTCCCCAT